TTTCCTCCTCTTTTATCCTGAATCGAACTTTCATCTCCACTGTCATACTGCCATCTTGATTAACATGAACAGATTTCTCAATATCATCTTCAGAGCGCACCATAGATAGATCTTCACCAGCTTGTGAATTATTTTCTGCTAAGCCCATGTAATTGTCAGGAATGCAAGAAGAATCTGAGTTCTCATTGCTGAAACCTTTATCAGAAGAAACTGAGTAAATTTGAGATCTCGAGGCCATTTGTGCACTCACTTTCAACATTTATATTGAAAGCACCCAAATTCACAAAATTAGATGGAAAGTGTAGAAGACAATCATCAGACACGTGCATCCAGATGGAGAGACAGCAGGCAGGCAGCAAAGAAAGGAGATAGAAGAAAGAGAGGAAAAAACAGAATATGATTAGTATAAAAGCATTCATTGAAAGGTTTTGAGGGATTTTTGGGGAGGGGGATTGAATAAATTACTGTAACAACGAAAAACTATTGCATCTAGCTGTTTATTTTCTCTAACCACTCCCAAGAACTTGTTAAAAAGAAAAAAACAGAATTGAATTTTTGTAAAGAGTAAACAATGAATTTTACTGCTAGTACAATTTCCTTTATTTTCTTTTGTAGTTTGACTCTTCTAACACTGCTGTTACAATCAGTCTTTAAGGCCTGAAGCCTATGAAGTTCCAAATGCTCCCAGTTCCATTGACTTCATAAGTTGAACATGCTTTGCACCCCTCAGGAGGTACACAGCCGGGCCTCACAAGATTGGGCCCTAAGATATTAAGTGTGAGTCCTTATTTTTCCTATACTCCTAGACAATTTAATTGTTATTAACAGTTCTAAATGCACATGAAGTACACAATAATTGGAATGTTAATGAGTGCTGCAACATGTCAATCAAGGTGAGAATAAATCTCTCTGAACTTGATTCTACACTTCACTTTTGTGATTAATCCTGAATAGTCCCACAGACTACCGTACTCACTGATGTAGAACTGGGCCCTTAGAATATACTTCTATATATTCATATTTAAATACAGAAGCAGACATTTGTAATAAGATCATTATTTAACACCAACAGGCAAAACTGAACATGGGACCTCTAGGGTGCATCTAGCCTGGCAGGATTTTGCACAAAAGCAGCCGCTTTTGCGCAAAATCTTGCCAAACTGTCTACAATGGCCGTGAGTATTTGCGCAAGAACACTGACTTTGTACTGTACAAAATCAGTGGTTCTTGCGCAGATACTCCGATGCTCCCGCTCAGGGATAAGCCCTTTTGCGCAAGTATTCTTGTGCAAGAGGGACAGTGTAGACAGCCAAGTTAATTTCTTGTGCAAGAAAGCCCAATGGCTAAAATGGCCATTGGAGCTTTCTTGCACAAGAGAGCGTCTACACTGGCATGGATGCTTTTGCGCAAAATCAAATATTTTGCACAAAGGCACATGCCAGTATAGACGCTCTCTTGTGCAAATACTTTTAACGGAAAAACTTTTCAGTTAAAAGTATTTGCGCAAAATCATGCCAGTCTAGACGCAGCCCTATTAGTGCAGGAGCCTCTACTAGTGCAGGAGCCCTCCTAGTGCAGGAGCCTCTACTAGTTGAGCTATAAACCAGCTGCCTCTTAACTAAGGCTGTAGAACAATCTCACTCTCAGGGTACATCTACACTGCAGTGCTATTCTGGGATACTTCTGGTATCCCAAAATAGCTATTCTGTGTCTTGACAGTGTGCCCATTATTTCTATATATTTAGAAATAATGGATGCACTATTCTAACGTCCCTGTATACCTCATTGCGTTTTATTTCAAAATTTGGCACTGTGTAGACAGCACCAAATTATGCAATAAGCGATTTCGAAATTAACTCAAAATAAGCTATGCAATTTGCCTAGTTCAAATTGCGTAGCTTACTTCAAGCATACTCACTCACACACTCCATTGGACAGTGAACCACATTCAGTAGGTGTGACAGTTACATTTACATCATGCATTTTAATTCACATCATGAAGTTACAAAGTGAACTATATGCTATAGTTCTCTAGTACCTGGGCCATGGAAGTCAAATCAGTCTTTGATGTGCTTGTCTGAACAGAATTAAGTCTTTCTAAAGTACATTTGTATTACTTGGTAATAACTTGATAGTGACACAAGGGTGCTGGAACAATTTGTATAGTGAGGGTGCTGAGAATCGCTTATCCCATGGGATTTGGAGGAAGAGTATTTTGTGAGGGGAGTTGAGGTCTGTCTGGAGAGCCTAAGATGTATGTGGGAACACAGTACTTCTGTGCCAAAACATTATCTTGTCTAGGGTTTCCTGACATGGTTGTCTCTGCTTCTTGGTTCATTAAGACACCAGCACCATAGTGTTAGATAACAAAGGAAGCAGTGATGGAAGAGCTAATTTTTCTCTGTTAATTTTTAAAGTGCTGCTGCTTTGCTGTGCTTAGGAGCCTAAACAAAATCAAGTGCCAACCACTCTGCACAGAGACACTATGCTCCCATTCATCTCTAGGTCCCTCTCCCTCACCAGTGCCCCTTCTCAATATTCCATGTCCCTAAGTTGTCTCTCTTTAGTTTTTCCCAGCTTCCGCCCTAATAGTTCACCCTCATGTTTCTTGTCCCACATGTCTTGTCTTCCCAGTCACCAGGCTTTGTGTACAGCAATTGCTGATGAATTAAGAGAACAAGTAGGAAAATTCTGAGGAAAATAAAATGTCTACAAAAATAAAGGTTGTCAATGAATTTTTCTCTTCCATCTAAATTTTGCCTACAATCATGGCCAGGATGGCAGTATTAAAATATGAGAGTAGCTGACAGCTCTGTATAGTTTGATCAGCTAATATTGGGAAATTGCAGTTAAATAAAGAGGAATAACTATGTATTTTACTTTACAATTTCAAAACTCTCCTATGTTGGAGATAGCCCTCGGGTTATATGAGTATGAAGTTCAGAGTTTTGAGGGTCTTTTTTTCCCATTCCATTTCCAGAGGCTAGCAAATATGAGGTTTTCATTTAGGGTACGTCTAAACTACATGGCTCCGTCGACGGAGCCATGTAGTTTAGACGTACCCTAAATGAAAACCTCATATTTGCTAGCCTCTGGAAATGGAATGGGAAAAAAAGACCCTCAAAACTCTGAACTTCATACTCATATAACCCGAGGGCTATCTCCAACATAGGAGAGTTTTGAAATTGTAAAGTAAAATACATAGTTATTCCTCTTTATTTAACTGCAATTTCCCAATATTAGCTGATCAAACTATACAGAGCTGTCAGCTACTCTCATATTTTAATACTGCCATCCTGGCCATGATTGTAGGCAAAATTTAGATGGAAGAGAAAAATTCATTGACAACCTTTATTTTTGTAGACATTTTATTTTCCTCAGAATTTTCCTACTTGTTCTCTTAATTCATCAGCAATTGCTGTACACAAAGCCTGGTGACTGGGAAGACAAGACATGTGGGACAAGAAACATGAGGGTGAACTATTAGGGCGGAAGCTGGGAAAAACTAAAGAGAGACAACTTAGGGACATGGAATATTGAGAAGGGGCACTGGTGAGGGAGAGGGACCTAGAGATGAATGGGAGCATAGTGTCTCTGTGCAGAGTGGTTGGCACTTGATTTTGTTTAGGCTCCTAAGCACAGCAAAGCAGCAGCACTTTAAAAATTAACAGAGAAAAATTAGCTCTTCCATCACTGCTTCCTTTGTTATCTAACACTATGGTGCTGGTGTCTTAATGAACCAAGAAGCAGAGACAACCATGTCAGGAAACCCTAGACAAGATAATGTTTTGGCACAGAAGTACTGTGTTCCCACATACATCTTAGGCTCTCCAGACAGACCTCAACTCCCCTCACAAAATACTCTTCCTCCAAATCCCATGAGGCGCCAATGGGAAATCACCCATTCACAGACGTAACTTTACCCAAAGACTCCTGAGAAATAAGTCTCAACCATAAGAATGTGAGGAATACAATGTCCTGTTGTGAGCTCTAGCTGAGGGTCAGGAGATTTTAATTTCAAATCCCTGTTCTACTCTAGACTTCCTGTGTGATCTTGGGAAATTGTCATAGCCTACATTTTTAAGAGTGCCTTGTGCCCAGAAAGTTCTGAAATATAGAGGATGGGTGCTCTGTACTTTTCTGAAAATCAGCTCTCTCTCTTAGGTGTCTCAGCTTGGACACCCAAAATTCACTGGTCACTTTTAAAAATGTAAATCTTAGTCTTTCGGAGAAACAGCTTCATGTCTGTTCAATGTGGAGAACAGTGGTTCTCTATCATTCTTGGGTGTTGTGTGGATAAATATTAAAGATTGCAACTTGCTCAGATACTAAGGCAGCAGGACAATCTGACAGTGTACTTCACACAAAAGATAGAAACAAACAATAAACAAATAGAAACAAACCAACAGAATGCAGCTGAATATTGAATGAATTAAATGCTTATTTCCTTGCTTTTCCAAGTTTGCTTTAGTTAGGTAAGGGCGCATATGGAATTAAGGATATGACAAGATATCTACATTCATTTAGTGAGCTAAGATCTGAACATTGCTTGATAATACATTTGCTTAGCTAGAATACCATCCAAAAGTTCAGCTAGAAAGGAACCTTGCATTTGTTCTCTGTATCAAACAGTGTGTTTGTTCTCTTTTACCCAGGCTGTAGTACGCACAAAGGAAAACGTGGATAGATTAACAACAATAAGTACATTTTAAAATAAGCCTTTATAGCTTTACATAAAATTCAAATAACTCTATTTGAAAGGCAATACATAAGCCAGCTGTATTTTTAACAGAAACCTGAATTCTAAATAGAAAATTAATGTTTTGATCTCTCTCATGCCTCCTGAGGAAATCTGAGGACAAAATAAATACTTTTGTTTCAGCTTGTATTCTTGAACACCCTTGATCCTGATTAGATTGCTAATGTTTCTTTTTTTTACATTAAAAAGTGTGAAAAAGATAAATTACTTGAGAAGTTACAAAATAATTAAAGGAACTTACTATTTCCACTCTCTGATTTGTCATTTGCTTTGGGGTACACGCGATTGGAGAGTCCTGGCAATTTAGCAGGTAGTGAATATCTGTGAGGATCATAGTTTCCTGGTTTAAATGGCTCTCTCCCAGCTGCCACAATAGCTCCAGAACACAAGATCAAAGACTGAAGGCTAGGAACCTGGAGAAGAACAGCAGCAAATCAAGTTCTCTGCATCAGTAACAACTAGTAATAATATAACAGGTTTATTTTTTCTGCATAGGTTTTTATACGTTTTATTTTCTATCCTATAGTTATATAGCATTGCAGCAGACTTTTACAAAGGCTGAAATTTATTCCAGATAGAATTTATTTCAATATTGGGTAATGCAATTCCTGTGTCTTTGTGAGTGAGTATGTAACTATATTAAAAGATGACACTGAGATGCAAAGTTTGGATCTAGATAAATATTTCCCTGAAGTTCAAAAGTTTAGAACTGAGGTTTGTATTCAATATAGAGACAACCAACAGCAATGAAATGAGTCAGGGAGAGTGAGAATGTGTGAGTCAGTGAAGGGAAGAATCTTCATATATTAAGGGGCTCTAGTATAGGTAGGTCTGTGCTGCATACTGTCAAGTATACAGAATTAGTAATGGACCTGATTTGCTGCTTCTCCCATTACAATTTGAGCCTCATAGATTGTGCTGTGCTAGCATGTAAATAACATGCCCCTTTTCTTGCTTTCATGTCTATTTGTGGAAATGAAATACAGAAGGAGGAAGAAGAAAAATTGTTCTCCTTGGCCTCTCAGGATAGAACAAGAAGCCATGGACTTAAATTGCAGCAAGGGAGGTTTACGTTGGACATTAGGAAAAACTTCCTGTCAGGGTGGATAACACAGGAATAAATTGCCTAGGGAGGTTGTGGAATCTCCATCTCTGGAGATGTTTAAGAGCAGGTTGGATAGACATCTATCAGGGATGATCTAGACGGTGCTTGGTCCAGCCATGAGGGCAGGGGACTAGACTTGGTGATCTCTCAAGGTCCCTTCCAGTTCTAGCATTCTATGAAATCACATCTTCACCATATGGAAGGTGAAAGATGCAAATTCACCCTGCATGGGTGTTCAGCTGAGCTGAGTGTGATTCCCCTTTCAGTTATACTGGTGTAATTCAGAAGAAAATCCATTTTATTTAATGAAGTTACTGCTCATAGGAGAATCAGGCCTGTTGTTTCTGCCATGTTCAGCCTTTGTGGGCTAGGATTGGATGGGTGATTTATAAGATGCAAGATAACCGTATTTGAGGTTTTACATCCATAATACATCCATGATGAACAACATACTGTTAAATGTTGTATATAGCAATTGCATTCTTTGAACATTAAAAATATAGAGGGCTAGAGCTAAAAATCAAGGTTACTTAGTTTATGGCATTATGAGCTTTTCTCAGCAATGTGGTTGTCATCCAGGAAATCTGATTTAGAATTTTGAGTATAAATGTTTTGCTCCTACATTAGCAATTACATTGTCAGGGAATCACAAAATGTAAGTTTGGAAGGGACTTCAACAGACAGAATCAAGTAAACCTTCATCATCCCTGACAGGTGTTTGTCTAACCCCTTCTTTAAAACCTCTAATAACAGGGATTCCAATATCTCCCTTGGAAGTCTATGCCAGTACTTGAGTATCTTTACTGCTACACAGGTCTTTCACAATACGTGACCTAAATCTTCCTTGCTGTACATTTAGCCCATTACTCTTTCTCTTACCTGCAAGAGTCATGGAGAATAACACTCCTTATAACAACCCTTAACATATCTGAAGACTGCTCAGGTCCCCTGGTCAGTCATCTGTTCTAAATATTAAATATACCCAGTTTCTTTTAACCTTTCCTCATAATCAAATTTCTAGACCTTTTATCATTTTCCTTGCTCTCTTTTGTACTCTCTCCAACTCATTCCCATCTTTCTCAAAGTGTAGCAACCAAAACTGGGAAAACTGCTTCAAATGAGGTCTCACAAGTGTCAATGATAGGAAGACAATTACCTTCCATGTCTTACATATGACACTTCTGTTGATACACCCCAGAATTATATTAGCCTTTTTTGCAATTTTATCACCCAATTTTGTTGCCCATTTGTATCTGCAATCCACTATAATCCCCAGATCATTGCCAGTACTTCTATTGCCTTGTCGGTTCTCCCCTATTCTATTCTTGTGAATTACAAGCAGTCCCCGACTTACGCGGATCCGACTTATGTCGGATCCGCACTTACGAACGGGGTTTTCTTGCCCCGGAGCTCACAGGCAGCGATCCACCACCTCGACCTCCGGGGCGAGAAAAGCTGCTCCCGGTGCCCCTGGTCTGCTGGAGACCGTCTCCAGCAGACCAGGGGCACCGGGAGCGAAGCCCCAGCCGTGGCGCCATCCCGCGCCTCTGAGGCTTTGCTGTAGCAAAGCCTCAGAGGCGCGGGATGGCGCCACGGCTGGGGCTTCGCTCCCGGTGCCCCTGGTCTGCTGGAGACCGTCTCCAGCAGACCAGGGGCACCGGGAGCGAAGCCCCAGCCGTGGCGCCATCCCGCGCCTCTGAGGCTTTGCTGTAGCAAAGCCTCAGAGGCGCGGGATGGCGCCACGGCTGGGGCTTCGCTCCCGGTGCCCCTGGTCTGCTGGAGACCGTCTCCAGCAGACCAGGGGCACCGGGAGCGAAGCCCCAGCCGTGGCGCCATCCCGCGCCTCTGAGGCTTTGCTGTAGCAAAGCCTCAGAGGCGCGGGATGGCGCCACGGCTGGGGCTTCGCTCCCGGTGCCCCTGGTCTGCTGGAGACCGTCTCCAGCAGACCAGGGGCACCGGGAGCGAAGCCCCAGCCGTGGCGCCATCCCGCGCCTCTGAGGCTTTGCTGTAGCAAAGCCTCAGAGGCGCGGCACCCCGCTGCCACTGCGGCTTTGCTCCCCATGTCCCTGGTCTGCTGGGGGGGCGCAGCTAGTGTGCCCCCCCACCCAGCAGACCAGGCTTTTGTTGCCGGACCCTGGGGCAGAGCAGCTGGGGTGCTGCTGGGTTGGTCCAGTAGCGCCGAGGAGCGGTGCTACTGGAGCAACCCAGCAGCACCCCAGCTGCTCTGCCCCAGGCGTCCCCAAGTCAGCCGCTGCTGAAACTGACCAGTGCTGACTACAGGAATCAGCGCTGATCAGTTTCAGCAGCAGCTGACTTGGGGACGCTTGGGGTTCTTAAGTTGAATCTGTATGTAAGTCAGAACTGGCGGTCAGTTTCAGCAGCGGCTGAATCTGGACGTCAGTTCCGACTTACATACAGATTCAACTTAAGAACAAACCTACAGTCCCTATCTTGTACGTAACCCGGGGACTGCCTGTAGTCTATTTAATTTCAGATCAATTTATCAAGGTCATGTTGAATTCTAATCCTATTTTCCAAAGATGTTGGAACTCCTCACAAACCGGATGGATCTGCAAATTTTATAAGCATACTCTCCACTTCATTATTCAAGTCATTAATATTTCGGACCCAGAACAAATTACTACAGTCATCTTCCCAGTTTGACAGCAAACCATTAATAACTACTCTCAAAGTCTGATTTTCAACAAGTTGTGCACACGCCTTACAGTAATTTAATCTAGACAACATTCTCTTATGTGGGACTGTGTCAAAAGCCTTACTAAAATCAACCTATGTCACACCTACAGCTTCTTCCCTCTACTCCCATCCACTAGGGTAGGAAGCCTGTCAAAGAAGGAAATTAGGTGGAACTGGCATGATTTCATCTTGACAAAATCATGTGGTTACCAATTATATCATTATTATCTTCTAGATGGTTATAAACTGATTATTTAATAATTTATTCTAGAATCTTCCTAACTATTGAAGTTAAGGTGATTGGTGTGTAATTTCTTTAGTCCTTTTTTGTTTCCCTTTTAAAGATAGGTAACATGTTTGCCTTTCTCCATTACTCTGGGACCTCATAGTTCTCTGGGAGTTCTTAAAGATAATTGATAATGGTTCTCTGATTCTTCAGCTAGTTTCTTAAGTACCCTATGCTGAACTTAGGCTCTGCCAACTTGAATACATCATAGTGAAGATGCTCAACTTCTATGGGATGGGTAAGTTCAGGAATTTGTTCTGCTGCATTAATGAACCAACATCACTTAAGAGATTAGAAGCAGAGTACCAAAGAAGCTCTGCTTAATGTATGTGCTAATTGTGGTGCAGGGTTATGGAAGGGTAACATGAGATTGGATGAGTGGACATATTTGAAGGCAAAAATGAGAAAGGACTAGAAAAGCATCTTGTTCAGGAAATGCAGTCATTAGAGGACACAGAGAAGGAAGTGGTTTAAGAGAAGACTGGTGGACTTCCATGGAAATCTAGAATTAAAATTCCCTCATTTCAGTTACTATAGACCTAAGATGAGTGTACATGCTTCAGCAAAACTAACAAACTTTTTTGAAGGTCAATAGCTGTACAGAGACAGGTCCAAAAGGAAGGCAACAGATGGTCAGGGCATAGGGGACCTTAAATTGATCAGAGTGGTAGCCAGCCATAAAAACCCAACCTAATCATTTGATTTCACTGGTAATATTAAAGTAAACATTCTGAAAAGCATATCTGATGCCACTGTTTATTCTCACCTTCCTGCCATCAGTAGTGTATAACTTCACAACTGGATACTGCATTAACTCACTTATGTAATCCAGAAAGGTTTCAAAATTTTGCATGTGCTTCTTATCCAGAACTATTGTGCACCTGTTTCTTATGTCACCATTTTTGAAAACAAGCAGCTTTTTAGGGCTTCTAATTTTGACTGCTCTGTCTTCCTGAACAATGCCATCTTCTTTCTCCCTGGCTAACCGCACAGCTCGGCGATGAGCACTAACAGGTCTGCTGATCTGCCAGGGCAATGGTTTCTTACTGGCCCGTTCCAAATTGATGGGCTTGATTTTCTTCTGATGGGAACAAATATAAGACTTTCCATCTTCAAGGTCCTCCAGGTTGGTGATGCTGTGTATCCCGCGCGGTGTACTAATATTCCTCACCCCAAATGGTATTGGGACTCTTTTGGACAAGTTATCCAGCAAGGCATCAAATGTTTTGAAAGATCGATTATTAATGACCATTTTGATCCCATTAAACTGAGGGTCTCCACTCTTATAGAAACAGATTCGTTTGGCCACAACAGGTTCAGTGACATTAAAGTGGCGAGTAGATAAGGTCTGTTCACTCTCTGAGGAGTTTGGCTGAAGCATTGAGTAATTGGTGGATGGCGTCTCACTCATTTTGACTGCAGTCTGGAAGCAGGAGGAGACGGATGTAAAAATTTTCTCACAAGTGCAGTAACAATGTAGTCCTCATTCTGAAAGATGCAAAAGGCAAATGTGTAAGAAAAATCTTGCCAAAAATCACTGACTTAAATGGGTCCAAACTGTTATCTCTAAATTCCACAAAAACACCAGTGCTGTAGGATTAAGTTAGCGTAGCTTTACTTTCAAATACTCTCCGAACTCTCCAATATAATTTCATCTCTTATCGTTTTGGTACAACAGCACTTTCTTTAGAACAAGGCACTTTGTCAGACTCGAATAGTAATTAGAGGTTTTCTTTTTTTAAGGATGAATGTAATAACATTTCACACATGAAGTATTAGAAAAATCTACATGGGGAGGGGAGAGTTTATACAGAGAAATGAGCCATAATTCAGTCAAAGGTAAACAGAAACTGAAAGGCAATAAATTTTATTTTGATCTCAAATGTATATGTTTTACACCAGTGCAACTCCATTGCAGAGATGCTACTATCCCTGATTTACTGCACTTTCATTGACATCAGTTTAATGTTTTAAGTCATGTTTTGGTGGTTATAGTTAACAGTCTACTTTATAAATTGTGACAGGCCATTTGATTTTCTATTGTAAGCTTTGCCTTTCATGATACATAACTCAACCATTTCAATATTTGCATTTGTGCCGATTGAAATCTTGTTGGTCAAATGTGAAATTATTTTTTCCTAGGAGAAAAAGGCTTAAATTAGTGTAATCCTTGATAAAGACAAAGCCATTTCCAGTGCCTTTAATTAAAAATGGCAGTTTTCAGTCACTAAAACTTTAGAATGAGCTTTACAATTCTGGTAATCTAAGCAATATTCTATTTCTGAGAGCAATGTAAACAAGGGACTGTTCCCCTTGTGCATCATCCACATGTCCTTGCTCTACACTCAGTTAATTGAGTTACAATCCCTTAATAACAGTATTTTATTCTAATAGTTGGCTCGCCCTGGCCACAACATACACTGGAAAAAACACTGGAAAAAACCTGGTTTATAAACTAATCAGCCTGAAGAAAAGATCTCTCTACCAAAACCAATGTCCTTTTCAAACACACTTTTCACAAAAAGGTATATATCACATTTGTGGACTCATTTGTTTTCTAAAAATAAAATAAAATAAAAGCCTAAATGAAATTCTGACTGTGCCATTTGGAGGCAGATGGCAGATTGAATGGAAGAACATGCTACCTCCTTCAGCTATTAAACATTTTTCTTAATGAAACGGGGAAAAGTGCCCTGTTTTAAAGAAAATATTTCACCAGTTACATACTGTAAATCAGGCCCATTCATCAGCTGCCTCAAACTAGATTGCAGTATCCAACAGCAGGCACCCAAGTTTGAAAATATTGGTATTCAAATTCAAAGCAGTTGCAGGCTTCATAAAAATCTGATCAGGAGAGTCTGATGCAATTTTTAAATTAAAATGTTCTTACTGATTCTGCAGGCCCTGTGTTTCCCTGTTTAGGGCAGCACGGAGGGAGGCGGGGAAGCAAGCGAGGGTCTTAAATAGAGGATGTGATGCAGCTAACATTAGATGCTTTCCTGATGCTTGCCAATATCATTTCATGGGTGGTAGAGTAATTAAGGCTGGCAATGTAACTGGGGAGTAGCCATTTTATACACCGTGCATTCCTATGAACACAGGAACTTTTTCAGGGGAAATGCTCTTGGGAGTTAACATTGCTCATAGTAGCATAAGCTTTGCCCCTCTGGCTTGCAGGAAAAAATGCACATACAACAAGACACTCAGGGGCAGCATGGCTCATGGGCATCCCCCAATAACCCCACTACCTCACCCCACTCAACCAGCGCACACAAGCTCAGGTTACTATTCCACCACATGTGGAATAGAAGACTTGATAAATGGATGAAAGTGTCATGGCAGCATGTTGGTCTCAGGTTATACTGAGTGGGTTTTACCTCCTCACTCTCTCTGCATACCACTTCCATAAAGTAAAATTATTTGGGTTGAGGGGATTTTGCCCCAATCTCTTAACTATTAAAACAACTACAAAATTAATTCAGGTGGCAGTATTTCTCTTGAAGTTTCCAAAGGCTACTCACAACAGCTTTTAAAATATGCTGTTTTGACATCATTAAAAGTTGATACAGAAATTCTTAGGAAAATTACTGTTTTGGAAACTGATCAGGGTCTTCAATAGAAATAACGTTTATACCTAGACACTAGAAATGTATAATCCAAAAACAACCACAAATTAAAGCATAAAGACAAAAACCAATAATCAACTATTATGAAGTAATTACACACACAGAAGAGTAATTGACTAGCAGATCAGATCTTCTCTCATGAAATGTAAAAATACTACAATAATTATCATATACTCCAAAGTACTTTAGAACTGAATCATTATTGCATTCAGTATATTGCATGTTTTTAGTTTGTACATGTGTTAGCAATCAAAGCTAATAAAAAATGTTTAGACAATAACAGAAGGGTTTTTATGCATCTTACACAATTTCAAAAAGTGGATAATCAACATATTGTATAAGACCTTATTTCACATCAGAGGTCATAGTTTTAACCACTATAATATTTTCATTGTAGCTTAGTTTAGAGTTTTTATAGTTTGAAAATGTTCCATGTGACTTGTTAAGTAACAGTTGCCTTTGTATAACCACAAATTTCTGTTTATATCATATACATCTCCATTTTATAAATAATGCTACTCTGCTAAAAAACAAAACAGAACTCTGGCCCTTTGTTTTCACAGTCAACACCTCTTTCAATTTAAGAATCTACACCACTGTTTCTATGCTTTAAAGGGAGAGATTAAATTTAAGCAGTATATTCAAAGCTAGAGAAAGTAACCATTTTTCACAGTAGTTAATTTTTGTATTATAACATTTAATACTACTCACCCACAGTTGCATCCTATGTAAATAAAAGGATAATCATCTTGTTTTCAAAGATTTATATTATTGTAGGTACAATTGACCATGCTATATGAAATGAACATCTTCAGTCTTTATCCTAAGGAAGCCTTGCTATAAAAACATCACAATCAATTTGCTTAATCTGGGCTAATGCTAATCCATGACTGGGTTTATCTGAGGTAGTCATTGGTCAAAGCAGACAATCTAGCATTTCACTCAGCAAGTCCACTCACTATTTTTTTATTCCCTTTGTTGTTATAATATTTATTTCTAATGTGAATTTTCTTACCCACATCCATATCCCTAGCAATGCTGTTACAGACTCAGAAGTCAAAGATGGAAAAATCTCCTAGGTAATTCACTCCATCTCCCTGGCAGTATTCCCTCCCAAGTATATTTTTCTAGTTTTTAGCTGTAAATGTCCTCAGAGATTCAGATTCCACCACTTACCTTGGGAGACCCTACCACACTCTTACAGATCTCAGTGTATGGAAGTTTTCCCCAACATTCATTGTCTCTCTTAGTTGTGTACAGTTGTCAAATGATCAAATCTCCTTTTCTTTGTGCTTCAAGGCAACTGGGCTGAATGTTTATAATCTAGTTACTTATCATTCAGCTTTTGTACTGTAAATAATTCCATGGTTTTCTTCCCCACAGCATTCTTCCCTCATAAACACTTTCCAGACCAGTACAGACTGCATCCATAAAGAGTTCTGCTGTTCCAGAATCGACATTATAAAACTGACTGAACTTCTATTTTGTTTCTGCAGATGCTGAAGGATTACATTGTGTTGTGGCTTCACTATTCCATGATTTGATTTTGTTTTAAAAAGAAACTATTGTGCCCCCAGATGGTAACTGTTCCATCTAATTACTACCAAAGGTATAATCTGATTTGAAGCTTCTTTACTTAATCGGGCTACAGTAAGCTTTCCATACTAGCTCAGTGGGGTAGCTACAAGAAAGGCTGCTCCTAGATAGCATTATTAAATATCACAGTTATTTTTTCAGAGTGGCATTTTCTTCCTATGCTATACATTCAATGTTTAAACAAGTATTAAATACTGTTTCAGACTTGCTTATCCCACCTTATACAATACATACCCACAGACATGGTTTGCTTGTATTGCAGACTCATTTCAGCAATAAATACTCATTTCTTAACTTAAACAACTTTACTAAAATAATCATTTAAGTCTCAAATAGATGTTAATGAGTGTAATTGTACTGATCACCTTTCCAGGCAACATTCTGTTATTTATACTTGGCTCTTTCCCACAATAGTTTATAGTAGCTTTTGGTTTATTAAAATCTATTTCTCAATATATAGTCAATATGTGAGCACTCATAAGTAGTAAATAATTTTCTGATGGGTCTAAATTGAAGGGTAGCCTTGAAATTGTGATAGAGTTGACTTCCTTTTAAATCTAATCACCTAAAATCTAGTGTAGTCTTACTTTGGATGATGATCACTTCAGCCAACAAGCTGCATCTGTGTATCACTAGAATTTGAGACTCATGAGATTAAACTCCTGTGCCTCTGGTGAAGATAAACAAGTGTCTTTGATTGACACTGTAGAGGAGCCTTCAATTGGTAAGACTCACAAAGCTTTCCTCATGACAGCCACAAGCTAAAGGATTCATTACTTCCCTTTCTGTACCACAACCACTACATGAAAGAAAGCAAAAGAGACCCTGGTTCCAGCCCCACAATTCCCTCACCTCAAGAGAAGCTCCCATCAGTGACCAGAATTTGGCCCTTCATATTTGAAAAATTGGTATACTATTTTTGCACAATATTTGTAAAAAAAAAATGTAGTAATACAAAATTAGTCCCTGAAAAGTTAGACAACGTAGCAGTGATTAAAGAGTGTATTTAGAGGTAACATTACAATTTTCTGAATAGCTATAATGCTCTCTTCTACATTACATTGTCTTCATGCCTGACTGGGAAATTTCTTCAACCTGAGTATTGCACCCATATTGATCTCCAACTTTCTTCAAAGGAGCCATGATCTGGCTGAAAAAGATTTGTATTAGGCTACAGTTTTGCCTTTAGTGTTTAAAAAATCCTGTGCTTTGTATTTAAAAATCTTATTTGGTTCTTGGTATATACAAACATTACTGTTATTTAGC